ATTTTCACTTTTCTTGAAAGCCACCTGCATATTCAAAAAAATGATGAAACGCTTACATTAGCAAGTTTTATCTCAGATTAGAATAGAAACAAAAATTCAAAACGCTCTTTTTCAAGAAACGACATTTAAAAATTTTTAAAAAAGACATGTTTTGAAGAAATAATTTTTGCGCAACTGATAAGAATTGCAAAGTTTTGTCTTTTTTTGTCGGCATCAGGGGTTACGGTACGATTGCTGACAGTAGACTGCAGGAAATCTCCAACTGACGCAAAATTTTGACGCCTGTGCGACTGATAAAGCTCCGGTCTTAGCTGAAAATATTATTAAATATAATAACATATATAATTTAGTGGAACTTCTCTTCTTCATACTATTTAAATAACAGGTAGATAATTTTAAATTTTTAACTTTAATCAATGTCAGAGTTTTTTTAGAAAAAAATTCGTATAGTAGTCATTATTTTTCTTTATACCGCTTCGCTTCCTTACTGAACTCTTATGACCCAAATGTTTCACACTCACTGCTGCCATCTGGATGTGAATATTGTTTTGCATTTATTGTCTATCGCTGTGACATAATGCAGCGGAGGTTTTATGTGCCTTTAGCAGGTGATCTTCCGAGAAACGTGATGATAAAAGATCGTTTTCGCTATTATACTTGTTTGATAACGCGAAAGCTACCGATATTTCTGACAGTTGGTTCACTGTCCAGTTGAAAAGATTGATTGGCTTTCAAATAAGGCAAAAATGAGGAAGATCCGTTGCGAACTGAGAAAAATGGAAATTCGTAAAGGTGACTTTGTCATGGGTGAATTGCTTTTCTTTCGCGATTTAGAACGGTATAACTTTGCCGCCACCGTACTTTCTGAGTTAAACGCTTTCGGTTTCAAACCCCGGTACTAGGTGCTTTTAGTAGACAAAAAGTGAAAAAAATCTGGCAGGTCGAGGTGGACAAACTGTGCAACTTGGCATGGAATGGCTTATATACGTAAACATCTGTACATGTTTATACGTGCTTATTTATATGTTTGTTTATTATGTCCAATTTTTTATCGTTGTTATCAAAGAGGCGTCATAATTTAATGTTCGGAAGGTCTTGAATCATATGGTCTCTACTAAAATTGTTAGTTTATGGTTTGGAGTGTTTTTGCTTTTTTTTTATTGAAGTCTAGCTCATTTTTCAGCTTTGTAGCTCAGTTTGGTTAATATTTTCAGTACTTCATCGAGAGTTCACGTCACATTGAATGGTCTCCAGGTCCATGTGTTCAATAGGCTTGCGGAATACAAAAAGCTTTCTATGTATTTTGGCTTGGAAAGAGTTTTCAAGTCATTGAAAAAGCAAACAAATATACCCATTCCAAAAAAACTAACTGGTCTATCTATTTTAACTTTAGAAATAATTTGTTTGCTTATGAATTGTTCATATAGTTTTTTAATTGTTCTGTTTTCTATTTCTGTGCGCTGATTTGAGATTTTTTTCAGAAAAGGAAGAGCAAGCATGGGATAGCTTTTATGATAAACTTTGGTGTTTAATTGGGTACATAAAGTTATCTATTGGATCGGGAAAATTTGTTGCTGGAAACTGCAGTCTGCCGTCCGTGTTTGTAATTATTTTTGAGAATTATTCGTGTATGTCGAACCCATTTTTAGATTTTTAAACATTTTTTGGAGATAATTTGTACTTTAGAAGCTGATAATTATCAATCATTAAATTTTCAAAGCCTTCAGTAAAAAAACTGTTTTAGCAAGAATTTATTTGAAATCGCGTAAAACGGGCTGTGACCGGGCGCTATTATGTATAGTCGGAGCTTGTGAAAACCTTAGTGTTTCATTTGTGAAAAGTAGTGAGTTTGAGAAGAAGCAGCCATTGCATTTCACTGGTCGACGTGATGCGCCTCCCCGTACCATGGGAGACGGTTTTGCTGTACTGCAGAGCGCTCGACTTCATTTCTATTACAACCAGTCTATATTAGGTGAGGTGGAATGCATATGTGAACTTCATTAATTTCTGTACTTGGTTTCACTGTAACTCGTGTTTCATACAGGTATATTTTGTCCAACCTACTAGAAGTTAAGTTAATATAATGTATTATTGTTGTGGAAGCCTACTTTTTTCAAAAAGACGCTGACTTTATTTCCTATTGAAAAGATAAAATTTTTGTAGGTATCGTTCAGGATGAGATGCAGTCAGCAACGGAAAATCAGCCGGTTTGGGAATCTGTCTGGCGGTTTGGAAAAAATACTGTTTTTTCATACGGGCCTTGGGCCGATGCGCAAAGGGTTTTGATATATGATTTTTTCTTTCCTCCTGCCCACTGTACAGCTTCTGTAACGTACGTCTTTTGTATTTTTCAGCAAAATTAAATTTGTCGTTTGTTAGATTTGTTTCTGCTTAGGTATGTTTTAAAGTTTTATTGTAGCGAAATGCCAAAACGAGGACAACGAAGAATTTTTTTGGCACATGATGCTAGAATATCTGTCCTTAACGATGCTGGTTTTGATATATGGTTTATGAGAGGAGATGATTTAAATGCACTTCACTTACGATTCAAGCAGGGCTCATCAGTAGATGTAAGTTAAAGAATCACACCAGTGCCCCTCCGAACTATTTTATTTTTCGCTATATTTTCCTCTCATTTTACAGCTCAATATCCCATGGATTACTTTAAGAAGTGGGTACTCTACTATCTTACGTTGTTGTTTATTGTTCGTTGATTCTTCAACTTCTTTGCCATATTCAAAATTCTTCCAATGTGAGACGTTTCGTTTATCTTTGTGCGCTCATTATCCAAGGGTGTTTAATGCTCATCAGTCGTGGAAGTTTCAAATTGAACTGAATAAATTAACTGTTTGGTTCGTATGGGATCACAAGCGTTTTTTTTCTGTAAGTTTTTTTATTGATTTTTGTCTTATGGGTGTCTTATTCCTTAGTTTTTAAGGGTGTAAATTGAACCAGTTTTATATTTTGAACGTAACAGGCAAATTTAAAACATTTGTTATTGTTATAGGATTTGATCAACGAGTGGTCTTCTGCATCTGTGACGGATTTATATGAATTCGTTCCGTACACGTGGAATTTTAATATAAAAATTACGGATTCTTTCGAATTAATTCTTGTTTTGAACGACAAGAATTGGGTTGATACCAAGTAAGTTAGCACTTTATTTTTTTTCACCGTAAGATTGCAGAAGAAAAAATTACATTTTTTTGAGTTTATCCAATATTATTCGACTGATCTACAACATTTTATCTCCTGACAGATCATCAAAAACTTGAATGTTGTTTTCTAAAAATGTTTGCTCGAAAGCTTTTAGGGCAACTGAAAACTTTTTGATTTTTCAGCATCTGAATTTTCTGCAGTTTAATCCTCATATACATTCTTTTGTGGACTTCTACTCTTTAGAATTTCATCTACGTTTTGACTATTAAGGCTCTAGGAATTGTATCTCTAGAGCTCTTTAGATGGGAAAATTTGTAAAACATGTAGTTTTGTTCATAAACTCAGGTCAGGACAGTAGTGTGCAGGCGTACATGGATGCTTATGATGTGGATGACTGTATGGCTGTCTCGAGCTTGTCACATTTTTTAAGATGATTTCTCGACGATAGTAAGGGTTTGAAGAAGTCCACATTTTAGAGGGTTTTAAACATCTATGGTCTTGAGGAGGTTTATTGGATTGGGCTTCACACAGTAGTTTTCTACGAGCAATATTTTCTTAAATAGTTTGTATAAAATTAGACAGACTGTAGAGGGAGGATGTATTTGAACTAACATTAGAATGGATGGTTGATCTGGTGAAATTTGTGCTTGACTGATGCGTTTAAATGAATGTTTCCCTCTCTACTGTTTAGTTACAGAAGGCGTGAGGTGGTTTAAATATATTAGCCTTTGAAAATTGGCGGGGTGTTTATGAGGAAATGTTAAATTAGAACAATTTTTCGTGCTTTTTCTCTAGTCGGGAGATTTTTTTCTCTATTTCAATTGATAAGGAGAGATTGTCCTCGTATATTGGATATTGTGAGCATTAGATTGCTCAAAGTAGAGTCGAGGTTTGTGGACAGATGGGGTGCCTCTTTTATTAAAGATACCTTAGAAGATACTATAGCTGGAGTTCTCACTATCTCGTATGCTATATTGCTCAGAATTATTCTTTTCATTTTATTATTCAAGCATTTAAAATAAAGAACGCAAAAATCGAGTGTCGTTTGGAATTGAAGTTTTATTTTACTTTTTTTCTGAATTTACGAATTTTTGAACGAAATAATTTATTTACTGTGAATTCAGTTACTCTTAAAAATTTCTCTTTTGGCGGTGCATGACGTTCTGATAAACGAGGGAGTTTTTTCGCTTCTGTAGGAGATCCATTATTTTACTGTGAACTTTACGCTAGGTTGGAAAATTGGCATGATAGAGCGGAAAAATGTTATGTCTTTACAGATTATTTGATATTCCTGAAAATACCTTGGTCGCTTTAGTCGGAAGAGAGGCTATAATGAACGCCTATTTGCCTTTCGTTGACTTTTGTCCAGAAACTGTTGACACAGTTTACGAAGTAGTGGCTAAAGATACCGTGGCTTTACGTTTTTGGGTTCCTCCGTCGAGTCCGATGTTTCCTGTGCTAAAAACGCTTTTGAAAAATTCCATATATGTCCCATCATTCGCTTCTTCTTCAAATCTTCCAACTTCTTCCTCGCTGAATGAGGTCACTATTCCTTCACTCTCAGTTTTTTTTTCATTGGAACTGATAGGAGTTTTCTGGAAATTTTAGCACTGGATAGAAGTGTGGCGATCAGAAGAGGTGAAAATTTTGCTTGATTACGTTTATCATCCAGTGTACAAAGATTATTCAAGTGATCTTCCGTACAGCGTCGTTACTTCATTTCTTCCTAAAGGGGCTTCCCATCCAATAACACTGGTGCCAGATGATTTGCTAGTGGAGGTATGCGTTTTTCAGTTATTAATTCCGATTGCTAAGCATTAAAGATTTAAAAAAACCGTCATTTTAAGAGTGGAACCTGTATTTATGAGGACTGGTTTTGAGGCTATTCTGGTCTGAGGTTGGAGTGTTTTAAGGTTATATTGTTTAGAACATTCCTTTTAAACCAATATTTTCCTTGCGTTTCTAGCTCAACTGCAGTATTTCTAAGTAGTATACTCCAAAGGGGTTGATGTCAACTAGTAGCAGCGCATATATATGGGCCATTCCATGCCAAATCGCACACTTTTTTCCCTTTATATCTCAGATTTTCTTTAAATTTTTCTGAGTACTAAAATCTAGGCGAAAAAATCCCGAAAAGTGAATTCTCCGCGAAGTTACACCCCCCCTCCCCCCCAAAATTGCAAAGTTTGCCAGGTTGCCTCCTAAA